GTGTGTGTGTGTGTGTGTGTGTGTGTGTGTGTGTGTGTGTGTGCGTGTGCAACAGACCAAAACCAGTCACAGCAGTGATTGGAGAGATGCCAGCATTTATCAACCAGGTGTCGGTGGACAGCCGGAGATGGATCAAGGACATTTAGATCATCAGACCATTGATGATTCGACGGGGTTGACCACCTGCTATTGCATGCCTCATTTTCCATACCAGTCGAGATGAGGAACATGATGCCCTGGATCTGTGTCACAAACCTGTGAAAAAGTACCTTTAATACACAAAAGGCTTTGCTGTTTGCGCTATTTGGGTTTTAATTATTTCAGTAAACAAGAACAAGAAAGATGAAGTGCTTCATTGCTGTGCACTTTTTTTTTTTTTTTTTTTTGCTGTGTACTTGTTTATAAAACACGACAGTTCTTGTACACTAACAATAATACATTTGGCACACAAAAGAAAAAAGAAAATTAAAAATGAATGTRCACTGTCATGTCAAAATACGACACATAGATACAGAAAGTTACTAAATATGTTTAGAATTCATTGGTAAAATTTGTATTTTTTTTCTTGTTGTAACCATGATATATAACTCAAGTATTAATATATCCTACATCAGAAACATATGAACTAATCAACTTCCAGAAACCCAATCTGCCCACATTAGCATTAATCAGTAGAAAGTTAGCAGCAGTGGTAATTACAGAAGGCTTCAACATCAGTCATCATGTCTGTTTCAGGCTCTATACTCTTTCCTTGAAGGTGGATTTGTAACAAAKATTTTAAACTGAAATAGCTAATTACACAGTACTTTATCGGTGCAGTGAAGTCCACATGAAGACGCATGTGTGAGTCAAAATCCAAAATTTTGTGCTAGATCTTTGATTTTCAATTATAAGAATAAGTTGTTTGCTGATTGCACTCGGCTGGCTCCCTTTCAGTGCAACAAAAAATAAATAATTCAAACTGAAACACTCTATGAAGGTCACTGGAGTTAAACAGTGGTTGTTATCTGTTATGCCTTCCCATTTTCACTATAATTAGTTAAAATAAACTCTCCCTGTAGAAGTCAGTCGCTTTTAGCTTTTTTCCTTTTAAGTCTATTAATAATAAATGCTGAACTTTGTCTACTAATACATACATATTATGATGCTCTTTTCTTCATGTGATGGTTGTTGTGTAAGTCTAAATTACATTAGTGTTTGAAAAGTCATGCTGGTACAGACATCAGCCATTCATAAACAATAGCACAATATCATAAACTCTCGTAGTTTGGCCACTTTTGATTATTTTTGTAGAACATGTTCCAAAGTAGTCAATAACCTGAAAATAATTTAACATGACTGAAGATTTTCTCAGAATTTAAAGCAGCCTTTTTGATCTAGTGAACAAACTTCAYATTTTTAAATAGCCCCTAGATCATTATATCTGTCACAAGAATAACTACAGGCTTTATAAACTCAGGTTCAACAAGCAGTTGTTTGATAAAGGAGGTGAAACACAAACATAATC